AACAAGGTTTTGTCGTCATCAGGTACCTTGATGTACAACATTTCAACAAGGTTTTGTCGTCATCAGGTACAACCGTGTTGAAACGTTGTACATTTGCTGTTACGTTAAACTTATATTAAAGTTTTTCTTCATTACCCATTCAAGCCGTCTCAAAGTGGGTTCCTCATCATCGATTTTAACTTGAACTACTCTATCCCATTAAACATTTTGTTTCTTAAAAGATTTTCATGCACATAATGACACCAGGAAAAATAGAAATGTATGAAGAATATGTCTATTTTAGAAATTCAATTCCTGTTAGTTTTGTGATTGTTTTGACACGTTACAAACAGATACAAGTACAAATCAACTGTATACCTTATTCAGCTGAAGTCCTATTGGTGTTACCACCTGCACTGGTGTCATGAATGTATACAGGGTAATAGTCTTAAAAATTACTTTTAAGTGACTGTTGCATTAAGTCAACATTTCATTCTCAGCATGATATGAAGTTGAAAAGTAAATTTTCAAGTGAAGTGGTTGAAAGAATTAAAAAAAAGTAAAGCTTTCTAAGCTTAGAGTCAGACCTATAACAAACTGTGCTGTACACAGGAATTGTCTTAATGTTGGTACGTTTAAAATATGGTTTACTAATTAGCTAAAAGGCTGGATGAATTCAAAGTTCAAAGTGATGTGAACATATATTGTAGATGACTATACAAGACTTTACCCTTTATGCTGCATTTGATAAAAACAACAACTCAAATTAGTGACAATTATTTAGAGATTGTAACTTTTCCATTTCATGTTTATAAAGTGTAATTTTTTCACCAATATGTAAAACTTACGTTTTTTGTTAACCTACTGCTAAATAATGTGAAATCACAGCTGATATTTAAAGTTACAAATATTTCATCAGCACTTTCTTCAAACAATATGTAGAAAGAGGTGTCTTATGATATAAACTGTTATTTTGTAATAAAGTAAAGCCCATTCTTCTTTCCTGGATGCACGTTCACAGAATTTCAAACGATACAAATTATAAAATTATTGAATATCAAATGAAGGAAAGATAAAAATTAATTGGGAAATACAACTTTCTGAATTATTTCCTACTGTGAAGTAACAGTTGGTGTCACCTATGATGTCTTGACATAAGTTCTAGTGTAACAAGAATTCAAAAGCATAAAAATATATTGAAATTCAATTTAAAAATCAAATTGATATTTTTTGTTCCTCGTTACTCTTTCCTTTTTCATTTATCATAAAAAAATCTTAAAAATAATGAATATTATTTGATAATTCATACCTGCTGAATGTTTTTTACTAGTATGGAAATTGGTACAGCGAAATTTTGTCTCCCAAGCCTTGTAGCTTTCCTCCCACCCTGGGCTAGAGGCACCTTCGCTGTCAGCATGTGAACTAAAAATATCTTTTTATTATTACTTTTGTAAAATATATCAAGAAACATCAATACAGTTTTGTGGTCACTATTTAAGCTTACTTTAATAAACAGTCATCAATAATATTTAAATGGTTTGTGCAGAGGAACTGTTTACATAAACAAAAATGTATACATCTTGTTCAATCTTCTGCAGTCGATGTTTCATTTAAAACAGAATGTACCACATTATTCAGCAGTCGATGTTTCATTCAAAACAGAAAGTACCACATTATTCAGCATCAATATTTCACTCAAAACAGAATGTACCATATTATTCAGCAGTCGATGTTTCATTCAAAACAGAATGTACCATATTATTCAGCAGTCGATGTTTCACTCAAAACAGAAAGTACCATATTATTCAGCAGTCGATGTTTCACTCAAAACAGAAAGTACCATATTATTCAGCAGTCGATGTTTCACTCAAAACAGAAAGTACCATATTATTCAGCAGTCGATGTTTCACTCAAAACAGAAAGTACCACGTTATTCAGCAGTTGATGTTTCACTCAAAACAGAAAGTACCACGTTATTCAGCAGTCGATGTTTCACTCAAAACAGAAAGTACCACATTATTCAGCAGTCGATGTTTCACTCAAAACAGAAAGTACCACATTATTCAGCAGTCGATGTTTCACTCAAAACAGAAAGTACCACCTTATTCAGCAGTCGATGTTTCATTCAAAACAGAATGTACCACGTTATTCAGCAGTCGATGTTTCACTCAAAACAGAAAGTACCACGTTATTCAGCAGTCGATGTTTCACTCGAAACAGAATGTACCACGTTATTCAGCATCAATATTTCACTCGAAACAGAATGTACCACGTTATTCAGCAGTCGATGTTTCACTCGAAACAGAATGTACCACGTTATTCAGCAGTCGATGTTTCACTCGAAACAGAATGTACCACATTATTCAGCATCAATATTTCACTCGAAACAGAATGTACCACGTTATTCAGCATCAATATTTCACTCGAAACAGAATGTACCACGTTATTCAGCATCAATATTTCACTCAAAACAGAATGTACCACGTTATTCAGCATCAATATTTCACTCGAAACAGAATGTACCACGTTATTCAGCATCAATATTTCACTCGAAACAGAATGTACCACGTTATTCAGCATCAATATTTCACTCGAAACAGAATGTACCACGTTATTCAGCATCAATATTTCACTCGAAACAGAATGTACCACGATATTCAGCAGTTGATGTTTCTCTCCAAACAGAATATACCACATTAATCATCATCGATGTTTCACTCAATACAGAATATACCACGTTAATCATCATTGATGTTTCACTAAATACAGAATATACTACGTTAATCATCATTGATGTTTCACTCAATACAGAATATACTACGTTAATCATCATCGATGTTTCACTCAATACAGAATATACTACATTATTTTGCAAAGGATTGTATGCTGTTCAAAAAGATTAGATATAAAAATCTGACAACCTGGTTAGTGTGAAAGATTCTAATCACACACGCAGTCAAACCATACAAGAAGTTATTATGATCATAATACGTGTACAATAACATAAAGTAGCTATTAAGTGATGAAATGTTTAACTAGCTTAGCGTTACCGTATAAATGTTTGAAAAGTAATATTTGTATACAATCTCAGAAAGAAACTAAACGTATGCTTTTTCTTAAACAAATGCATAAAACAACATTGTACCGATTTCTGTGATGATGGGATTCCTTTGCACGAGCTCCACTAGTTTTAAGTAAGTTTTTTTGAAAATCAAGGCTGGTAGTCTTTTTGCAACATTCACTGTTCTGAATTTTGTGTTCGTTTCCAGCAGTGTCACACGACTGTTTCTCATCACCTTTACCACTAGAAGATGGTGTAGTTCTGTCATTTCCTCTCTCGACCAACTGAGACCCCTGGTGTGCGACATTGTTGTCTAATGGAGGTGACTGTGAACAGTTGGCACTCTGCATCTGATTTCTGTGGTTTTCTGAAACCTCCTTGTCAAGAAGCTTGTTCATAATCTAAGTAGAAAGTTCCTTGAGGTTAAAACGGGGTTTACAGATTAATAATAATTAAATATATTTGTATAAACGAGTGAATAGTAGTCTGGTAATATCGCACAGTAGGTGAGTGGATAGTAGTCTGGTAATATCGCACAGTAGGTGAGTGGATAGTGGTCTGGTAATATCGCACAGTAGGTGAGTGAATAGTGGTCTGGTAATATCGCACAGTAGGTGAGTGGATAGTAGTCTGGTAATATCGCACAGTAGGTGAGAGTATAGTAATCTGGTAATATCGCACAGTAGGTGAGTGTATAGTAGTCTGGTAATATCGCACAGTAGGTGAGTGTATAGTAGTCTGGTAATATCGCACAGTAGGTGAGTGTATAGTAGTCTGGTAGTATCGCACAGTAGGTGAGTGTATAGTAGTCTGGTAATATTGCACAGTAGGTGAGTGTATAGTGGTCTGGTAATATTGCACAGTAGGTGAGTGTATAGTGGTCTGGTAATATCGCAAAGTAGGTGAGTGGATAGTAGTCTGGTAATATCGCACAGTAGGTGAGTGTATAGTAGTCTGGTAATATCACACAGTAGGTGAGTGTATAGTGGTCTGGTAATATTGCACAGTAGGTGAGTGGATAGTAGTCTGGTAATATCATACAGTAGGTGAGTGGATAGTGGTCTGGTAATATCGCACAGTAGGTGAGTGGATAGTAGTCTGGTAATATCGCACAGTAGGTGAGAGTATAGTAGTCTGGTAATATCGCACAGTAGGTGAGTGTATAGTAGTCTAGTAATATCGCACAGTAGGTGAGTGGATAGTAGTCTGGTAATATCGCAAAGTAGGTGAGTGGATAGTAGTCTGGTAATATCGCAAAGTAGGTGAGTGGATAGTAGTCTGGTAATATCGCAAAGTAGGTGAGTGGATAGTGGTCTGGTAATATCGCACAGTAGGTGAGTGTATAGTGGTCTGGTAATATCGCACAGTAGGTGAGTGTATAGTGGTCTGGTAATATCGCACAGTAGGTGAGTGTATAGTGGTCTGGTAATATCGCACAGTAAGTGAGTGTATAGTAGTCTGGTAATATCGCACAGTAGGTGAGTGGATAGTAGTCTGGTAATACCTTCCTCTTGTTACATGTTTGTGTCAAGCCTGAATGAACTGTACATCATACAAATCAGGCAATAAAACTATATGTGAAAAGGTAAACAGTTGGAATTGTTTCAAGCATGAATGAACTGTACATAAACAAGTCAGGCAATAAAACTATACGTGAACAGGTAAAGAGTTGTTATTGTGAAGAACAAGAAATCAAGTCATGGAAATATCTAATTCACTGAAAGAAGTAGAAAAATGTAAGTTCAATTTATTTGATAATTTTCAAGATTTCATGTCAGTGTATACTGATGGTTAAGTTACAATGTTAGGTAGAGAAAATAACAGATAAACTTTTGATATTCATTCAAGAAGTTCTAGAGGTTATGGAAATTAAATATGAAAACTGTAAGCTGCAATGAAGTATTCCTATTTTTAGTATGAAAACCAACTTGTACTCGCATTGACTCCATAAATTCACAGAAAAGTATCTAGTAAAAACTAAAAGTTTACCAGAATTTCTGAAGATACACTTAGTAAATTTTTAATTCCTGTAAACATTATCTTTACAGAAACAGTGGAAAGTGGCAAACACCAGCACTGTCTCTGTTAAACTGAACTATTGTAAAATATCTGGACTCTGCTGCATACTTCAAAAAGCCCCCCTCATCATTTATAAAGATCACAATGAACCAAGCAAGCCCCTTCATTATCCCCAATTGATTCTACAGCTACTCCAAGAAAGAGGGGAGAGGGTCCACACCTGCCCTTCATACCTGAACATGTGTGCCATATTTCTTCCCCCTAGATTGTGAGTGAGGGTATGAACAAAATTTCAAACATGGCACTCACAGGATCCCGAATGGGGCCAGGAACACAAAACCTGATGCCAGATTCAGGTTAAACAACCATGAAAACCTACTTCTGGACCTCCCATCATACCTAGGTGACATTCGAGGGGCATCTTATTCACCCTTGGTATTTTATTAGCAGATGGGCTATGTCATATGGATTAAAACAGCCCAGGGCCAACCCAAGTCTACCTGTCAAGTTTGGTCCTGCTAACTCCAAAACTGTGGAAGGAGATCATGGATAAACAAATTCATAAACACACAATGTGAATTAACATGAGATAATATATTATACATAGTATAACATCCACTACTCTTATAAAAAAAAAGTACCTTTCTTAGTTTTTCCTGGTTATCTTTGTAATGAACGAGTAGAGTAATGGCAAGGTCACCTCTTTGCCGTCGAGTGCCTTCACACAGCAGTGGATGGTCAGCTTCAGATATATTGGCTTTCAACCCTGAAACCACATAAAATCCTTCAGGTCACTACAGTATATCATCTGAAATTTCTCAAGCTAAGATTTCTAATAAATGTTTAATTTTTCAAATTTGTAGTTGCATGTCTGCATCTTTATTCACAAAATAGCATCAAATTTAAATGATCGTTTACGCTAACACAGTACAGCTGTACACACACACTAGTAGAGAAAACATTCTTATTAAATTTGACTGTACATTCACTCTTTTAGTACAGAGTAATTTAGATTATGGTTCATTTTTCAGTTACCAGATTGGTTTCAAAAACCAAAACATGTCATAAAATAAAAAACAAATATGTGTTATTAAAGAAATTAATACAAGTTTATTTTTCATCTTCACAAACTATTTCACATTCCTAAACCATGATGTTGTGACTGCTCCCCTGACTTATTTCAGACCTACCTTGAATACTGGATCAGGGGAGCAGTCACAACATCATGGCCTATTTCCCACCTACCTTGAATACTGGAGTTAACAGCATCTTACGATCTACTGATCATAGGGAGGGGAGTCAGTTGAGCAGCATCCACCACCACAAAGGGTTTTATCTGGATTTTTGGGACCAAATAAAATGACTGATTGTTGCTTTTATAATAAAACCACAGTTGAGTTCAGAGCATGCTCAAAAGCATCTTCTTGACCATAAAATACACAATCTAACGAACTAATCACCAGGTCATGCCGAGCGAGTCCACCATGAAAACATGTATTTGTAAAGGCAAAAAAAAAGAGCTGGGTAATTAGTGGTATTTGCTAACTGATTCATCAATTAGTACAGTGCTCTTCAAGCCATGGTGAACACAACCAAAACAAAGTGGGTGACGGGTGCTGCCAGCAAACTTGCCTTCCTTCTAATCAATAGTTCAAAATTAGTATGGTGGTAGATAGTCCTAGTAGCTTTGTCAAAAGAGAAACAGGAAAAGCAAGTTTTGTGGCAATGGGAATTGAACCTGAGATCCTAAAATAAATAAATAACTTGGATACTTGAACTAATAAAGAATGGTACAAACCAGAAACCATAATTTCGATTAGTTAATTCTTTTCATGACAACTGATTTAATTATAATTTAGATTCATCAACCACAAGAATAATCAAATACAGTAATTATTGTAAAAATTATTTCAATTAGTTTATGTGACACTAACTGATGTAATCACTATCACAGATAATTGTTTAATCAATTAAACCACCCAGCATTAGCAACGAATAACTGTAAATGAATGGGAAGTTAAGTGTTTAGTAGTAGCTAAATTTTGTCACTAAAACTTAATGGTTAGTTATAAAACACAGTGGTGTTAGTGAACAATTCTCACTTCCATATCATTGTACACACTACTAAAAATGTCGTGCTATTTTTAAAATACCTTAAATATAAAAATTAAAAAAAGTTGTTGAAAGGGTACAATGTAGCAGCAATGTTAAAGACATAACTCTAATGCCATAGAATCACAGTCAACAAGATCCAAAATGTAACTACTACCATAGAATCACAGTCAACAAGATCCAAAATGTAACTACTACCATAGAATCACAGTCAACAAGATCCAAAATGTAACTACTACCATAGAATCACAGTCAACAAGATCCAAAATGTAACTACTACCATAGAATCACAGTCAACAAGATCCACAATATAACTAATACCATAGAATCACAGTCAACAAGATCCAAAATGTAACTACTACCATAGAATCACAGTGAACAAGATCCAAAATGTAACTAATACCATAGAATCACAGTCAACAAGATCCACAATATAACT